ACAGATCTATATTAATTGGATCAATAAATTTAAATGTTAATGCCAGGTATTAATTCAATATTGAACATTTCCCAGTTCAAGTGAAACTGAAACTCATTTAGCTCTTAATTTTTCTTATACTTAGAATTGTTTGGTTTGTAAGCTCATCCACAAATCAACCTTAGCAATGTTATCCAAAGACAGAAACACATGCAAACACAGAAGCAAACAGAGAGACCTCATAGCTCTCATTTCACAGTTTCAGCCCTGAGTCAGGTACAGAAATGTAAAACCCATCAGTTTACAAAAGTGGTTGGATTAAAGTTAGGTTTCTGGAAGATGGAACAAGTCAAGCTCACTTGTCTGAATGACCAAATATTTATAGAAACACAGTTGGAATTTCTATTTACCCTTAACAAATCAGTTTCTAAATTACTTTACCATCTTTTCAAATTTTGCATCTTAAAAGTATGGCAAAGATGAGGGCTCTTGAGAAGATCAGATAGAACATTTGCATCTCCATTGTATACGGAAGTTTCTCCTAGGATAACTTTGTTTCCTCTATGTTTAATACTTACAAGCCTCTTAAAGTAAATAGGGAAGGTTTGGGGAGTGATATCTATTAGAAAGTCAATCAACTTGTTCCCCACTGTCAAAGTTACCCAGGACCACCTGTGGGGAAATTAGAATTGGACACCTCAAGTCCATCCAAGGCCTTAGATAGTGATGCTAAGCCAGGGCCCTGTGCTCTGGGGGTGAACATAGAAACTTCTACTTGATTTTCATGGGTAGGGGAAACAGGAGGTGGTGAAAGGAGTGAATATGTTGGTGGCATGGCGCGGGGCAGTTGGATAAACTGCCAGTGCAGCCTGTTCAGCCAATGGGAAAGCTGGATAGACTGGAGGGGGTTTTAAGTTTCGAAATAATATGTCTCCATTCTCATTTCCTCTCTCTTCTTGTAGAACAGGTTCTCCCTTGGGTTTCCTTTCAGACTGCTATACCATAAGGGGGCAACCCTCTGATTTCTTCTCCTCCTGATGAAATAGCATAAAAGTGTCTACCTGTAGAATCTCATATCTTTTGCCTGCTCTTTTGCAAAACAATTCTAAGTGCAAGATCATATAATACTTGGGTGACCCATTCAGGGACCATCACTCTTTTGATCTTAACATATCTCATATATGTCCCATATATTTGGCATAGATGAAATATTTCCCATTTTTATAAATTTGATAATACCAAAACACAAAAAAATGCAAATTCCAACACAAAAGTCTCAAACAAATTCTAGCATTGATGCACACAAAACTAAAACAAAACCAATGAACTGGTTCCCAATGAACTGGTTCTAAGGCACTGGGAAGACTCAGAGGGATTGGGTAGAGAGGGAGGTGGGAGGGGGGATCGGGATGGGGAATACATGTAAATCCATGGCTGATTCATGTCAATGTATGACAAAACCCACTACAATATTGTAAAGTAATTAGCCTCCAACTAATAAAAATAAATGAAAAAAAAAATCAGGTACAGTCCAACAATAATTTCCCTCTCCAACAAGGTACCCCAATCAAACAAACTGACTTGTCCCATAAAGGAAAAGCCCAAATTGAGGGGGAATATGTTCCCAGTGTGCACACTGGAGCAACTTTTTCTACAAAATCAAGTTGGTCAACTCTCAGAAGTTTGTCGGTTCCTTGCTTCAAATGCTCAGTGCTGAGGCAGCCAGTGCCACTTCAGGGAATTTTGAAGGGAAGATCCTCAGGACAAATGGTCCCAGCAGCTAGGGCCTTGCCCCAATATTCCCTGATCAGGGCCAGGTAGCCTCAAGCAGCAAAGCTCCTGGCTGGTTCAGTCGCCCTTGTTCCCAAGTCCAAGCTCACTCTGCTCACCACCTCATGACAGACCAATAATTTGGGAGACAAGGTGTTTAGGCAAGGAATAATGACTTTATTTGGAAAGCAAGCAGACCAAGGTAGGTGATACACATCAAGGTAGGTGATTTGTCTACTAGTAGCTAGCAAACTTTGAGAAACACTATGTATCCAATGTTAGAATTATTTAGCAATGGATTATGGTATAACCTCTCTCTTGCTGTGTTCCTTTTGGATTGGCAAGCAGTTGCTAAAGAATGAAATTACATGTTCAAGGCATTGTATTAAATCAGGGACAGAACTGGGTCAAGAATTGAGGCGTTCTGACTCAGTAATTAATATATTGATTTTTAAAGCTTCTATTATGTGTTATAGGTACCAAAATGAGTAAGATAAAATCTTTGTTTTGAAAAGGGCAAGTCTAGTAGGCTAATTATAATGCCTGAAAAATGCATTAATTAATATTTTGCAGGGACTTTCTTGGTGGTCCAGTGGTAAAGAATCTGCTTGCCAATGAAGGGGAAACAGGTTCGATCCCTGGTCCAGGAAGATCCCAGATACCACACAGCAACTAAGCCTGTGAGCCACAACTACTGAGCCTGTGTGCCTAGAGCCTGTGCCCTGCAACAAGAGAAGCCACCATAATGAGAAGCTCATGTGCCACACTATAGAGAAACCCCCACTCTCTGCAACTAGAGAAAGTCTGTGTGCAGCAACAAAGACCCAGTATAGTAAAAAAATAAATAGATAACTTAAAAAAGAAAGATTTTGCAAAGCATTTTTCCACATTTCATGTCAGCATGTATAAAACCATAATGTGAGAAGTCGTGTCCATCTCTTTATGACCTGTGGACTATGCTGGCCATGGAATTCCCCAGGCTATCATACTGGATTGGGTAGCCATTCCTTTCTCCAGGGGATCTTCCCAACACAGGGATCAAACCTAGGTCTCCTGTATTGTAGGAGGATTCTTTACTGACAGCCACCAGGGAAGCCCAAGAATACTGGAGTGGGTAGCCTATCTCTTCTCCAGCGGATCTTCCTGACACAGGAATCAAACCGGGGTCTCCTGCATTGCCGGCAGATTCTTTACCAGCTAAGCGAGAACTTGAAGATGTTCAAGCTGGATTTAGGAAAGGCAGAAGAACCAAACATCAAATTGCCAATATCTGTTGGATCATAGAAAAAGCAAGAGAATTCCAGAAAAACATCTACTTCTGCTTCACTGACTATGCTAAAGCCTTTGACTGTGTGAATCACAACAAACTGTGGAAAACTGTTCAAGAGATGGGACCAGTTGACCTGACCTGCCTCTTGAGAAACCTGTATGCAAGTCAAGAAGCAACAGTTAGAACCCGACATGGAACAATGGACTGGTTCCAAATTGAGGAAAGAGTAAGTCAAGGCTGTATATTGTCACCCTGCTTATCTATCTTATATGCAGAGTACATCATGAGAAATGCCAGGCTGGATGAAGCACAAGCTGGATTCAAGATTGCTGGGAGAAATGTCAATAACTTCAGATATGCAGATGACACCACCATTATGGCAGAAAGTAAAGAGGAACTAAAGAGCCTCTTGATGAAAGTGAAAGAGGAGAGTGAAAAAGCTGGCTTAAAACTCAACATTCAAAAAACGAAGATCATGGCATCTGGTCCCATCACTCCATGGCAAATAGATGGGGAAACAATGGAAACCATGACAGACTTTATTTTCTTGGGCTCCAAAAATCACTGCAGATGGTGATTGTAGCCATGAAATTAAAAGGCACTAGATCCTTGGAAGAAAAGCTATGACCAACCTAGACAGCATATTAAAAAGCAGAGACATTACTTTGCCAACAAAGATCCTTATAGTCAAAGCTATGGTTTTTTCCAGTAGTCATATATGGATGAGAGAGCTGGACCATAAAGAAGGCTGAGTGCTGAAGAATTGATGCTTCTTCAGTTTTGAACTGTGTTGTTGGACAAGACTCTTGAGAGTCCCTTGGACTGCAGGGAGATCAAACCAGTCAATCTTAAAGCAAGTCAGTTCTAAATATTCATTGGAAGGACTGATGCTGAAGATGAAGCTCTGATATTTTGGCCACCTGAGGCGAAGAACTGACTCATTAGAAAAAACCCTGATGCTGGGAAAGAGTGAAGGCATTAGGAGAAGGGGACGACAGAGAATGAAATGATTTGATGGCATCACCGACTTGATAGACATGAGTTTGAGCAAGCTCTGGGAGTTGGTGCTGGACAGGGAAGCCTGGTGTGCTTCAGTCCATGGGGTTGCAAAGTCGGACATGACTGAGTGAATGAACTGAACTGAATGTTAGAAGATGGACTTTCTCCATAGTTCAGTAGGGAACATGAGCATGTGTACATGCTTAGTTGCTTCAGTTGTGTCTGACTCATTGCAACCCTATGGACTTTAGCCCACCAGGTTCCTTTATCCATGTGGATTCTCTAGGCGAGAATACTGGAGTGGGTTTTCATGCCCTTATCCAGGGGATTTTCCCAACCCAGGGATCAAACCCATGTCTCGTATGTCTTCTGCACTTGCAGGTGGATTATTTACCACTAGCACCATCTGGGAAGCCAGTAGGGAACATAGTGGGGTGTAACTTACTAGGGACTCTCGAGAAATCAAAGAAGCTGTGTTATCTTGAGGAGTTCACTGCACCAGCAGCAGTGGGGCACTTAAGAGAATACAGGACCCATGAGAAGAGGTAGAGTGTGTTTCGGGCATAGCATTACCCAGTGGAGAGTGGCACCCACCTATCAGCTGTCTGAATTTATTTATGGACACACTTGAGACCTCACCCAGCCCCCTCCTAAACATCTGATGGAGTTCTGGTCTTGTTAGTGCAAGGGAGAGCATAGGAGCCAGCCCAACACAGCTTACACAGTCAGTGTATCATCTGATCATTTCCATAGCCCTGGAAGGCAAGTTTTATCCCCAATTCACAAATCACAAGTCCCAGAGATAATGTGTTTCACACATCATTTCACATCCTGACAACAGGAATTTTAAGTGTATCCCCTACTTTCATAAACTCACTTTGTATGTACTTCCCTATTTTTTAAATCTTTTATTAATTATTTTATGACAAAAAGTAATCTGTATTCTTTAGTGGGGAAAGTACAGATGAAAAGAAAATCTCCTCTACTGCCACAACCCAGAGAATCTGCAGTCTGTGGGGGAATCCTCTGTCCTCCTGTCCATTTTTCTTTTTGCCTTTCAGGGCACATAATCTTCAGCAGGGCACTTTTCAGCAATGTGAAACTGGCTCTCTGGCTTTGCCTGGGATTCCTACTTGCCCTCTCTGAGTGGGTTTCCCTCAACTTCAGACTTGCCTGCTTTTCTTGCTTTCCCTCATCTGCTGGTTGTCTCTCATTGTCTGGTTTTCTCTCATTCTGGACCTCTGGTTCCTGTTCTGACTTCCTCTCCACTTCCAGCTTTTCTTTCTCATTTGACTCTCCTTCATTTTCAGGCTGTACTTCATCTTCTGGCCTTCCCTCATTGTCTAAGTTTCCTTCATTTTCTGGCTTTCCTTCATTTTCTCTGTAGACCTTCTCCATGTTGAGATTTGCCCTCCTTTGCCTGTCCTAGGAGACAAAATGGAGACAAAGTAGACAGGATTTAGGTGGTGAAATACAGGTCCTGATAAATAGTTGCCTCTATGATTTATGATCTTCATCATCCTATCCTAACTTTCAGGTGCACTCCCGCCCATATATTTTCTCCTTTCTTTCCCTGTGTCTGCAAGGTTGGCACACATATTTACATGAGCCCGCCTTGCAGACGTTTCCATAAGTATTTCTCCCTACGTTTAAGTGGGCTATGCTGATAAGTCCATAAGAACAGAGTTGTCCCTAAACTTTGCTCTGGTCTTGATTATGCCCATAACAGTTTTAACCTGGTGGTCCCCAACTTAGACTGACCGGCAAGAATTCTGTCCAGTTTCTTTTTCCTCTTGTCTACAGTTGTAAGACTTCTAGAACTACAGATACAACTGAACAATTGCCAGTTCTCAGATTTCAGAGATACTCTGATATCTTCAAGGGCTTCATAGATACCATGCCTACCAACTCTCACTTCCTTGTTCTCCCCTCTGTCCTCACCAACGATAAAACACCATGCTCCCTTAGGGTCCTGACAAATGCCATGTATTCTGAGACTGGAATAGGGAGTCTTGGAGGAGGGGTGGCAGATAGTGGCCTCCCCAACTTCTCTCAGGCTTTAGGGACTCCTACTTCCAGGGGTTCTGGGGCAGTTGCCCTCTCCCACTGACCTGCACTAGTACTTCAGGCCTTTCCTTTCCTTGTCTGGGTTGGTGCCTACAGCCACAGACCTGAAGATCTATAGAGAGACAGGAGACAGATGATGAATGAGGGATTAAGAAGTGAATGACTGGCAAGGGGATACTGATTCTTTTCCCTTGCATACATGCTCAGTTGCTTCAGTCATGTCTGACTCTTTTTGACCTTATGGACTGTAGCCCACCAGGCTCTTCTGTCCATGGGATTTCTCAGACAAGAGTACTGGAGTGGGTTATCATGTCTTCTTCCAGAGGATTTTCCCAACCAAGCATTGCAGGTAGATTCTTTACCACTGAGCCACTGGGGAAACTGATTCTTTTCCCACTGCTTGTCAAAACTTTCCCAGCTCCTGCCATCCCCTTGCCCTCTCCCTTGCTTCACTGTTCCCCCTCTACAGTCCCTCCCTAACAGCCTCTGTTTTTCTTTTTGCCATGAGAAATGGCAGAGAGATATTGTTTCCAAAGTATTTCTATGTTTCCCAATCTTCCTTCCAAATTTCTATCTCATTTTTTCTTGTGAGGTCCAGGGCATTAATGTTCAGAAGATAGAGCAAGCTGTGCTCAGGTCTCTGCCCTCCAAACCCCCACCCCTGGACACCCAGATAGAATGAACCCATCACTCATTCTGAAAATTGGTGATGGTATAGTCATAGAGCTGGGAAGAAATGTCCAGAGCCTTCCTGCCACGCCCTCCCTCTCCGCATACACAGAAAGACCACATTTTCCTGCAATGCAAGAGATAAATTATTTCTAAACTCAGTTAAAATTTTGGTCCATGTTACCTCCTCTTGACCCTCACTAGTTCAGAAGCCTCTCCTACCCTATAGGGAGCTGCTTTCCAGACTGAACCTCTGTCCCCCTCCTCTTTAGAACCTCTCTTCCTCCCCTCACCCTTATTCCTCTCTCCCTCCTTTCCAAAATGGATCAAATATGAAGAAGAACAGTCTCGGCCCCTTTGCAAAGGGGTCTGCCTCCCCATTTTGGGTTCCCAGGCTTTGTCCTCTTCCCTCCATCCTGCAGGGATCAGACCATTTCCTCTCCATCCCCCTCCCCTCCCTCCTCCCTCCTCAAATGTCCCTGATAAACTGCCTCCTAGGAGATCCCAACTGGTACCCATTCTCATCTTCTGGCCCTTCTCTATCTCCTCCTACCAAGTCCTCTGTCTCTTGCACCAAATGTATGAACATCAGGGAAGGGGTAGAGAGAATCCAGTCCTGAACCTGCTCTGGTCTTTGCCTTTTGCCACCCTCACCCCCAGGGATCCACAAAGGGCAGTGATTTTGTGACCATTTCAGGGAGATGCTTCATTCTCAAATTTCTTGCTCCCATAAAGCGAAAGTCACTCAGTCATGTCTGACTCTTCATGACCCCAAGGACTGTAGTCCACCAGGCTCCTCTCTATGGGCTTCTCCAGGCAAGAATATTGGAGTGGGTAGCCATTCCCTTCTCCAGGGGATCTTCTCAACCCATGTCTCCTGCATTACAGGCAGAATCTTTACCATCTGAACCACCAGGGAACCCTAAGAATACTGGAGTGGGTAGCCTGTCCCTTCTCCAGAGGAGCTTCCTGACCCAGGAATTGAACCGGGGTCTCCTACATTGCAGGCAGATTCTTTATCAGCTGAGCTACCAAGGAAGCCTTGCTGCCATAAGCCAGTACTTAACTAGGGAAATAAGTGATACCTGGACCTCTTCCCCAACACTCACAGTTTTCTGCACAAAAATGAATAGTGGAGGGGGGGGAGAATGAACAGGGGTGCATCTGGAAAGCAGACTGGATCCTGTGTAGCCTCTATTTCTGTTACTATCCCTACCTCAAGTCTCCCCCCAACCCCTGCTCTGGCTGGTACCAACCTGTGACCTGTGGGGCTATTGGGCAATTGTCCCCTCTGACCCCCAATCTGAAATCTATCTTCCTCCACGAAATAGGGAGCTGATACCTAGAGAAGAGGGACTTCTGCAGGCGTCAGCTCTGGATCACAGGAAGGAGTGTCACCAGTGGGCTCGAATCCCTAGTTCTCCTTCCTTCTGCAATAAGTGCATCAGAAGTCAGCCCACTTCCTCCCTTCACTTGCCCCCTCCCAGCTCACCCTCCTTCAGTCCCCTTCCCTCACTGCCTGAGCCCTGTCCTCATTTTGATCATGACTAGTCCCAGAGGTCAAATGGGGCCCCTGCTCCCGGTGGTATGTATTTGTGCTGCCTTATCAGTGGCCATATCCTCTCCCAGGGCTACTGGCCCCACTGGTACATTTCTGAAGAATTTCTTTATCTCCTTTGATTTCAAAGCACCTGTCCCCTCCTACTTCTTTACTCTGACCCTGGTTGTCACTCCTTCTGTCTTCACATAATAAGTACAGGGTGGATTGGCAGGGAAGCAGGTAGTTGAAACAGCGATTTTCTTTTCTTCTAAATAATTGTTTTTTCAGTTTTACTTAATGTATTCCTCAGAGCATGAGTTATTCTTATAAGTTAAATAAAGCTCTTTTCATTTGGGGAAAAGAACATGTTTAACATAGAAGAAAAAAATAAGATCCCCAAATTCTGAGAGCAAGTTAAGTTTCTAATATTGATTTTTATTATATAGAAAGTAGATTTGATTGGCTACATATAAAATAATTTTTTTTTAGTTTTCATAAATGTCATGTTCTACTGAAAAATCCATGTATTTAATGTTCCCAAACAATAGCTGAGTGCTAAGTGCACTTGCTGGTACGTGATGCCTAACACAATATCAGTCTTGAAAATCTGGCCTATGGCTATTTCATTCAGAGGTTTAACCATGCACAAAGGCAGTTGAGCATTTGAGGGGTGCTGAACATGGTCTGATCTTCCCTGCCCTACCTGACTGTTGCTTACTCCAAAAATATACATGGAGAAGTGACCAAGATGGTGACTTCAATAAATGCTTTTGGCTCCTCCCCTCCCTCCCCCAAATTCCCACAGAGATTACTCAATTCCAACAGAGATGGGAATGCTATTCTGACAGTTGGAGACCAAAACAGATCCCTTCTAGATCCCTGCAGCAGAGGGTTTCCATAAGGCCTATAGAAGTGATTGTTGTGGGGAAAGCCTCCATACCTGCTTGTTGTCTGCCATTATTCCCAGTGCCCAAGTGGAAATGTCCTTGATTCTGTCTATCTGCTGCCTACCACCTAACTAGGGAGATGCAGCATACTGGGTCTTTCAACTCTATTATCTTTACTTCCAGGGTATCTTGCAGGAGCCTAGCCAATCAACAGGGTTGCTGCCTGCCAGTCCACACCCACCCTGGCATCCTCTCAGCCAGATTTAGACCAGTGTCAGAATTCTGATAAGCCAACCATACTGATTGACTGGACCAGGTGTTTTCAACTGAGGGAGTCTGTGAACCACCTGAAATAATAGGCAAGGTTGCATGTGTTTAAAATGTAGTAAAATGTGTAGACTTATGAAAAGAAGATCTGTATCCTAGCAACCTCAGAAATCCTGAGACATGAACTGGTTGACATCATGAAGAAGCAGGAGCTATGAGGTTGAGAAAAAACAGAGGAGAAGCAGCTACTTGTGAATGAGACAGGAAGAGACAAATAGCAGCAGAGCTATGTTAAAGGAGAGCACTTACACCTTGGGTTCAGGCATTCTTAACTAAAGAACCCCCTGGAATAATGTTCAAAATGATGTGAATGTATGTGTGTGTGTGTGGGAGGGTAGGATATTACTGGGTGTGTACATTTGACTAGGATAGTATCTATTACTTTCTTCAAATGCTCAAATGGGGTAATGTAAAACATGAAGGAAGGTCAATTGACCTAGAAAATATATTTTCACATACATCTTTTTTCAAATAGGACTATTTCTCAGGAGAAATTAACATTAATGGTTAACCATTTTAATGTGTACAACTCAGTGGCATACAGTACATACATAATGTTGTGACTCTATCACCTCTGTCTAGTCCCAAAACATTGTCATCAATTCCATACCCATTAAACAATCACTCCCAATTCTCCCTTTTCCCTAGTCCTTAGCAACAACTAATCTACCTCCTGATTCTATGGAATATTTTATATAAATGGAATCATGCAATGTGTGACCTCTTATGTCTGACTTCTTTCACTTAGCATAATTTTTTCAAGGTTCATCCACATTGCAGCATGTACAGTATTTCATTTCTTTTTATAGCTGAAAATACTTCATTTTATGTCTATATCATATTTTATTTATCCATTCAAACATTGATGGATATCTGGGTTGTTTCCACCTTTTGAAAATTGTGACTAG